GGCTGTCAGTCACTGGCCTTGGCTCGTGGATCATCCGTCACCTCAGCAGGACATGGTGCGACTTCTGACCAAGTAATGAATCGCCAGTAAATGGTGGTTGAAAGATAGGAGAGTTCCTGATGCTGAGAGAACAATTGAATGAGATGTTGAGCATCTTGTTTACGGTGGTGCTTGTGAATGGGGAGAGATTGACGGGGGTAAACAATAAGGGGACCCATTCTTGTCAAGGGATCTCATAGTCCAAACTCCACCTCATCAACGACCTCGACGACACACCGTCCGTCCGTCAAGCCAGAAAACAGGCAGTAGTTAAGAAGAAAGGACTTGGAGGAAACTGTGGCTTGGGAATACACTCTCATTCAGATATCTCATGATCATTGAAGTTCCCTGAATTCTTCAAGATCTTCAAGATGAATCTATGAGCATCTGCTGCTAAGGCTACGGTTCCATGGAAAAAAGAGTTGGATGCGGAGATGCCACGAGGCCCGGGATGTCATCGTCACACACGCTCACTCACACCGGGCACTGACAGACATATTGACTGAGCATCAGCAAGTCATTTCTTTCATCTCCTTTCATTTCATCAATAAAGGGGCATGAAAGAGTCTTCTCTCGATCATATATAAAAAGTAAATGCCGACAGCACAATCAATATGAATATCTATCCCAGACCATTCTCATCAATCTTCCAAGTCTCTTTTATTTTAGTCTTTGAGTCTCTTGAGCTTCCCTTCTCTTCCCGCCCTTGGTCGCCTCACCAGGGAGCGTGGTCCTAAAATCCCTGCACATGCCCCCATGTGCATCTGGGAAGACCCCCGTCCGCTCACACCTTTTTTTGGAGGCGCGCTCAGTGTTGCTCTCATCGATGGATGGTTGTGATAGTGTGAGCTGTCGGCGCGTGATTTACTAGACGATCTTGAATAAAATCGACAATCTATATTGCTCCCACTTTCAAAATTCGAGATATCTTGTGTATTTGGCCCTCTGAGAGCAGAAAACCTTGACATCGAGGAGGATCAAAAAGGTGGGAGGGGCCCTGGTCAGGCTGGCTTAATGCCGTCACCACCATTACCACCAATTCATTCATCTTTTGGTGGTGAATGGTGGCTCCTGGCTTCTAGGCTTGGGTGGGCTTAGTGCCACCGCTTTAGCTTCAGGCCAATTGGCCAGATGAAGAAAAACCAGGGCAGTCAAGGGGTCCTCATGAATCTCCATCTTGCTTCGTTCAGTCAGTTCTGACTGATTGCTGTGCTTGATCTGGGATGGATGTTTTACAATGATAATGTGATATGGTATCAGCAATACCACCATGTTTTTGTCTCACCCTTATCATGAATGTCTTGACATATGGGTACAGCAGATACATAGATATGGACGTCAATGACTGTCAGATTGAGTTGGGCATCTCAGCCCTGCCCAACTACCTCCCCTCGTGAGGTGAGGTGAGGAAGTCGAGTCCAGTCCAGTCCATCCATCCATCCACTCACTCGAGGCGGAGAGGTCCTCATTGTTACTGTTACTGTTGTTGTACTCCAACTCAAGTTTCAACCGCTGGAGCACCACTGAATGTGGATCTCTGATCTCATCTCATCATCACTCACAAACCATTTTCTCGTTCTCGTTCTCTTCGTCTGTCAGCTTTACACCTGAATTGCGTTCGACGTCTCTTTTCAGCCTCGATCCAATAACGTCAAACTTTGCATGGTGTATTGCTCCCCTTGCTGACCATCAAAGGGAATAACTCTGGTAGCGTCGAATTCTAAAATCGCCCGGACCCTGGCATTTCTCACCTGGTCTGGCCTGGCCTGACTTGACTTTGATGACCTGGGGGCCGGCCCTCCAAGACCCAGACCGACGGGACTCGAATTGGGATTCTCGATCGTCCCGCTTACGATCCAACCGTTGGTGGCGTATCTCTTTCTCTCTGTCTTTGTCGCCATCTTTGCTCGATAACTGCGTTTGTTACAGCGGTGAATGAATGATTAACCAAACATACAGATACAACTGAAGTCGAATTAACTTGGCTGTCATTCATATGTATGTGTATGCAAGTCTTGGTTCACCTTCCTTTTTCTCCTCTATTGTTTCTTTTTTTCCTCGCAAGTGATTGCCCACTGCAACCTTTTTAGCGCCCAGCTGATGAACCACCCCGTAAAAGTCCAAACCAGTCCAAACACATGATCCAGCTGCATCTCCCGAGACACACATCACCCGGGAATCCTATCAGCGGTTCTGTCTCTACACAAAACCAGATAGTGTCGTGTCTTTTTGATCGCGAACCATCCAATAGGAAATTATGTTCTCGCGGGTATTTTTTTTTTCTCTTTCCTTCGAAAGGGGCACGGAATATGCTGCAAGGTACCAACAGACACTGAAGCCAGTGAAGTGGAGGGGACATCTACCCTGCATCAAAAATCTTTTTGATTGACGCTGCCAAGACGGACGGTCAATTTTAAGAGAGATCTTGGCTTGTATGGAGAGAGCTGGACTTTAGGCGTTCGTCTTGACTCGTAATACGATTATTGTGTAGCTGATGTACAGATGCTCCTTGCGTTAACCCAAGCTCTTGGTACGGGCAGGGACAGATATGTCGAACATCCAGTCAGAATTCACCGAGCGATATTGTCCTTTTCACGCGACTCGCAGGTTCTGACAAGTGCCGTCGATCTATCATCACCGCCTCGATAGCTTTACAGCCTTGGAATCTACTGACCGCCAACATGAGAAGATAGACCAAGTACTGGTTGGACTGCCGCCTCTCGTATGTGGTAGCAGAACACAAGCTTACAAGTCAGGCTGTATTTATTGCTGTCTCCTTCGTTTCTTTTTGTCTTATTCTGCCCAGCGACGATCCGCTTTAGCTCCCGCATCAACATGTGGCTGGTGAGATCTGACAACCAACCCCACCATGTTCCCCAAATGGAGACTTTTGGCCCTAAGAAACTCTATTGAACAGATTCGGATGATTTTTTGCTTCTCAAGACGAAACGTTACTCTTAGCTGAGGTCTGTTATTGAACTTTGGTAGCTCAATGGCATACGAGAATCTCACCATCTCAGCCTATGACTGCCTCATCACCAAGAATAACACTCGTGCTACCTCAGTTTCAAGCCGCTGCCTGAATTGCGTGTATGCCCCAAAAGTATGTAGGAGAATGTCTCACTGCAGCTCCTCTCTGCTTGAAGAACCCCATCCCCTTTCCCTTCATTCGCCTCATCCTGCCCTGCTTTGTCCGCTCAGCCATGCTATGCCATGCTATTCCCATGCCCCTGCAGCCGGTCCAAGAATCAGCCTGTGCCGTGCGCTTTGACATTGGCCCACGCCCGGCCAAATCCGTTCGTTCGTGTTTCTTCAGCTTGGATGTATCTTTCTCTCTCATTCTCTCTGTCTGTAACATGTCTCTCCAGGTCGACGAGATATACTTGTTATTGTTGATCTGCGTATGCGTAAACAGCTTGACTCGCTTATAATTACGTCCCTGCCAGTTGGCGACGCCCACGTAAGGAATAGTTCGTGGCCTAGTTTGTGATGGTCTTGTCCTAGACAGAGCCGATGCCGTTTGGCGCCGGGAGGCTTTTGGAGCTATTGTCTCTAAATATTTTCCTCACCCTTTTTGGTAGACTTGCCTGAAGAGGACGAGGACGAGGACGAGGACGAACAACAAGACGAACAATGTACTGTGGACTTTCAGCCCGGCAAACATCGCATCTCACTTATTGTTGTGGTCAGACCCAGACCCGAGTTGGTGGTCGAGTCACGATAGAACCATGAATGCCGAATCGATCACGTCAGCCAACTACGTATGTTGGGGACACCAACGTGGCTGATGCCCCTGACATGTTCTTCCGGCTTCAGGCTGATAATTTGAATCAAGGGGTTATTGTTCACTTGGGAGGCCCTCGGACTTGAAATGAGCTTTAACAGCATTCATTTCAAGGCATTGTACTGTGCTTTGCAAATGAGATGCTATAGTCAACGTTCAATATAATAACCAAGAGTCTAATTGCATCCAACGATCGACCCAGCTAGCCGGGAGCCTGTGGGAATGGGTGGAATGTGGATGGAATTCCAAAATATCGCCACAGACAGGGGCAGGCCAATCCATGTCTGCTTGCTTTTCCTCTTTTGTCGTGCTGCATCTTAACAAGTTCCATCGAGACGCATTCACATGATTCAAGCAGACAGATTTGGACTCTTGTTTCAAACGGTTACGATGCTGCAGATTATGGATAAAAAGAAAAGATTCACCCACAAAAGAGAGTTTGTTTGACGGCGCAGAGAATAGAATGTTTTAGAGACAACGAACGAGCCTCTCACACGTGTTGAGAGCTGTCGCTGTAGCTGGATGTGTCGCCAAGAAGCGAAAATCAGGGTTCCGTGACAGGGAACAACCCTGTAGACGCGCCATGAGCATCTGTCAATCAATCAATGAGGGATCCATTTTCAATCAAATTGAACCACAGGCAACATTTCATTTCAAAAGGGGCACAGCAGCAGAGACGGAGACAGAGACAGAGACAGAGGGCTCAATAACTGCAATTGCCACAGAGTTCAGCGCTCTTCGTTTCAGAGGCTGGTTTCTCTGCCTGTCTATTCTCCCGCTATTTCCATGCCTGTCAACCTGTTCTGTCTGTCACGTTTTGACCATGTCAGTACTGTCTAAGAGGAGAGCCGCCCTTATTTCATGTCTGCAGTAAACTTTGGAAAAGCACAACTCATCGTGTAATAGACAACGCTTTGATTCAGTGCCGCATCAAACTTGACATTGGAACGGCGTCATCTATCAAGCCTCAATCGTGATCTCCCAGTGTCTGGCTCTGTCTGTAACACCAGGTCGAGCCAAAGTTTCACAATCACAATCACAATCTACGTCAACATCAGCTCATCACACAGGATGGACTCGCAAAGGACGAGAACCTGACATCACTAAACAAGCCAACTGTCAAGATTCGACCGAATCCGGGAGCGCCACAGGGTTTGCACCAAACCTTGAACTGGTCATGGGCGAGGCCATCATTGATGTTGTACCAATCATGGGCACCGTTGGTTCTCGACTGTCAAGCCCTTTACCGAAACCTTCGCAGACGGACGTTGAAGGGCTTGACTACCTGAGTGGTTCTGCAAGGGCCTTGATCGGCTGGGCTGTTCTGAACGGTGTGCAGCAATTCAGTTCCTGGGCTAGACCTGGCCAGGGCCTAAACTTACGATGCCTAGGTGTTTGTACTGGCAGCTGTCGACAGTACACGCTGTGCTTACAGGTTGTCGATATGATGCCTGGTGCAACAGAAGAACTACCAACTGATGTGGGAGGATGAGGGACTGTGATGCTTTTCTCAAGTCGCACCTTGGCGATGTTGAGACTCAAGTGATCCTTCTGTCCACCAAGTTAGGTGGCTCTCCCAACGCCCGCATATCCTTTGACTTGTGATGGCCTCTAGAGACATTATCGAAATGATCGGCTCGACTGGAATGCGGGAGCCCGATAGTGCCGCTCGTTCCTGATGCCATGATCACCTAACTTCTCTGAGAATTGTGGAACATTCCGAAACGTTTTATTAGACTTGTCAAACTGGCACGTTTGCGGGACCAAAGTTCCATTGACTACATACGTTGTTGCTGGGGACGACAGTACGTTTTACAGCCATTGAGCATTGAGATGCCCTTGATGGACATGAGAGAAACCAAGCCAAATTTGCGTGGAGGTTCGCAAGAAACATATCTTCTTATAGCTGTAGGTGCTTATAAACATATGGTAGGCAGTATCGTGTTAAAGGGGACTATGAGAGATTCCCATTGAAACATCGAGGACTTCAGAAGGACAACCAGCTTCGATTGCCACCAGCCACGACGCGGGTAACATGGCCCTGATGTCGAAATGCTTGGCCTGTTTTCTTATGGGAAAATGCCAGTATATTAAATTTGATGCTGAGCTGGTAGAGCACTCCCGGTATTGACAAAGCCGGTGGCGGATGATGAGGGCAGATACTACCTCGAAGGTTTACTCTTTAAAGGCGCTCAACTTAGAAACACACATTAGTCTGGCATGTGCAATTATTGGCCGGCACTTTAAAATGCTAAAGATGTATCCTTACACTGACTGTTGTCAAGTTGCTGGCGACGTCGTTCATCAAAGACACAACCACCGAGCCATCGGTTTCGGTTGGCATGGGATCTCCATGAAAGCGACATAACTACCATAAATACACCCATGAAGGGAGACATGCTAGCTGATTTGATCTCATGTCCGCTATGTCGCGTAATAAAGAAGATGTTCGACGTGTGTTTCAACGAAGCTCTTGTGTATAGTATGCGTTGCATAGCTAGAGTCTACCTGTAGAGTTCGAATCATATTTTTTTTTGACACTCTCGAAATAGGATTTCAATATGAACACACACAGACATACAAGAATAATTAGGAGAAGATAATGCATATGCTAATCTCAAGGAATATTGCGGTAGGCATTTCATGGGCTCCTTTACCTCTACAGACAGCTATTTGAATACCATCAAATGCTGACTTGAGGTTTAGATTCTGATGTTCTCAGTTTAACCTTGAACTGAACTGAACTGCTCACGGCTGCTAATTCTTAAGTATTGAAGAAACGATCATTGGCAACCTCAATGTGCTACGTTATGGTTACCTAGCGGTGCGAACAAGTGTAGCCGCACTCCTACGTGCTTCTCATTGAAGGAGAGTAGTGCATGTACTGAGATAGTGGTACCCGAGGTGGTTGATCAAGTATCAATCGGGTCTTTTGGAACATATTCTCTTGATCTCTCGATCTCTCTTGTTCCGGGACCATCACACACGCCTAGCGATATGTATGGAAAGTCATGACCGACTAGTCACACGACACGCGATGGAGGAACATGGATGCGGAGAACACATTACCAATAACAATAACAATAACTATAACTATAACTACACATGTACATTATCTTCCTAAATGCGTAACAGGTTTTCAGTATGCGCTACCGCCACTTTCATGATGGGCTTAAAACGGCAAACCAGATCCCAGAATACTCCCTCGCCATCATATAGAACATATAAATAAAGCACAAACTTATGATACAATACAAGATTTCAGAATCGTCTCTTTTAAGAACCGTCTGTCATGCTATATCAACCAGCAACAGCTCGGCCGACAGCACCAGCAATCTCGCCGAACAGAATACCCTTGAACACATTCTCGCCCATGGTCTGAGTCCAGGCGCCAGCCTCCTTGAGACGAGCCTTCCAGGCCTCCTTCTGTTCCTCGCCTAACTCCTCCCAAGTCTTGCCTGGGCCGTGAACGGATGGCTCGTGGACATCAAGTTTGAGTTCCGGGGCCTGGCCGTCTTCACCGGCAGTTGCAGGAGGCACATCACCTTCGTAAACAACCAGAGTTTCACCAGTGGCAGTCTTGGTGATATCGCGACCAGCAAGCTTGGCAAGAAATTCGTCAGCTAAGAAGGCGGCGGGTGGGTGATCGGGGCTGCGCAAACTGCCATGCCATGATGGGAATATCTTTTGCACGCCAAGAACTGGGCGAGATCCGCCATAGAGCTCGAGGACAGTTTGCGCAACGAGGGCCATGATAAGCGCCATGATGGCCATCGTGATACCGAGACCACGAGAGGAAACACCGCGGGACTTCATAGCTGTGACGTAACGAACTGGACGAGGAGGTCCCTTCGGATTGCGGGGAGACTTATCCACATGCTTCGCAAGGGGAATGCTATGAACAGCGACCGTCTTCTGGAGAGATGTGCTGGCGAGTTTGATGTACTGTTGGCGAAGGTTGTTCTTGGGTGTCTGGAAGTGAGAGAATGCCACTCCCGTAATATTGTCTGTTCCGTGGACTTCCTTGAGAGTGTGTAGGTGCCACATTTTGGCAAGCAGCTCAACAGTGCCGCCTGTTGTATGTTCCAGTGTATAGAGTGAAATGGATGAATCATGGCCTGCAATAGCGATGATGAACTGTGTATCGCCGAGGGCGTTCAGAGGAGAAGCTGGAGGTGATAGGTTCGCAACAGCAAGAGCAGTGGCAGAAATCTTCTTCGGTATCCTGGCGTTGATGGACAGGCGTGCATCTGGCTGGCCATCCTTGGGTAATCTCAAAGCCTGTATCACAACTCCGCTTCGCTTGGGTAAGTTGGACGCGGCGACGAGGAAATGAGGGCTGAGATAACGAATTGCTCGGAAAGCAGGTCGTTCGCCATGGTCGTCTGGCATAACGTATACCCGCTGTGGTTCGCTGGTCTCCTTGGCGCCGACATTGACAAGATACAATTCGTACTTGTAGCAGTAGGCAACCTGAAACTCATTCTCTCCTGTTTGCACAATATCCAAATCCTCGGCCTCCTTGTCTAGTTTCAGAACATTTCGTAGCTTGGCTATAGCACCCGCAGCGTCAAAGATAGCCAATTGGGGCTCCTTGCCCATCGCTGTAGCTGCAGCACCAGTCGATCCCGCAATGCGCAATAGTCGCTGATATGTATCGAGGTCAGGATTTTCGAAGAGAGAGGTACGCGCGATCTCTGAGATGTTGGCATCGGGTGTCTTAGCCCCAACGGCAGTGCGCAGCTTCGAAGGGTCGACGCTTAGGATTCGGAGGTGTTCATTCTTGCCCTTTGCGATGCTATCTGGGCTGGAGTTGACGCCGGCGTAGAGATATGTTGTCTTTCCCTTGCGAGGGCCAACTGCCAGGGACATGACGCTGTCTTCATCGCGTGAAAGGTTGATCTCTCCAGCTGTTCGTAGTTCTGTTTGAGAAACGCCTTCGAGGACAGTCTGCGCATCTCGTTAGTCCATTGCTATGCGCCAGTCATTACCCGTAGAAACCGACTTACAATTTTGTTTCCAACACCAGAGCGACCAGCACCACCTCCACCACCTACAACTACTCGGGTCGAATCCTCGGGGTCAAAATCGACGGCGTAGAGGGGGTAATCGAGCTGGATACTCGAGCGAGGGAATGGGGAGGCCATGGTGGCGATGAGGCAATGCCTCTCTTGTGGTATCTGGGAGCTTGCGGAGAGAGAAACTGTCTTCAATGGAGCCAAATTCGCAATGCGCCTGACAGATACTGACGTGACGTTGATCGCGGGGTGTTTGGTGTTGAGGTGACGCTCAAGGCCAGATGTCGAGCTTGGAGCTTCCTGGTTGGCCAGAACAGATCCCAGCCACACGTGGCGCCCACATGGTGTGGCTTGACTTATACAATCTTGGGACTCATTTTCAGATCAAAGAATTTGAATTAACCGGGGGGTTTAATTGATGTAACTATAAATTGAAGCCAAAGGGATGGTCCCCGCATCTTGATCAGGTATCTGCATGATTATAAAGAAGTGGTTGATCCCTGTTAGCTCTTGACGGCGCCTGATACCGATAAACAGGCGAGGTTTGATATTGATCAAGCATAAAGCGAGCACGACTCAGTAATGATGTCCCTAGAGAGATTGATAGCGGCTGTGATATGATGAGAGTAGCTGGCTCATTATTTAGTTTGTGTTTTACCCCAATCACTTTGAAATCTGCATCTTGGCGAATCGTTGAGTATCATCTTGTCAAAGCTATATCGGGTTATCTTGTATGGATCAACGACGTGCTATTGAAACTTGTTGTGTGGCTTCAGCCTTTCACTGCTGAACCTCATCATAGAACATAATATTAATTGGACGTAACGTAATACTGTAGAAGATACGATTGTTGCAAAGATGATACAGCGCTATTGACAAACTGTAAGCCGAGGACCTATGAATATTAGATTAACAACTCCAAGGCGTAAATCTAGAAACCAAAGGAACCATGGCACAGAAATCAGCAAGACATGACATGGGAGCCTTGAAGTTCATGTCCGTAGATCATGCATGTCACAGTGGCAATGAGTACAATTTGTTTATACGAGAATAATACCGTTCCCTACCCAGTGGCGAGAAAGCCTGATGCCAAGGTCCTCATTGTAGAAGGTGATTTAGTCCGAGTCCCCAAATTCAGACACGGTCAATGGGAATAAGCATCACGACGAAGCATAAATCCAGGGCAGTTCCTCTATTGGTCCATCACAGTGGCTCTGAATATTCAGCATGAGCGAGGCGTCAAGTAAACAACCATCCCATTTCGCTTTACCCCTTGTGCCAGACCAGATGAGGAGCAAGACAAGCAGGTTACACTTAGAACGGAATGAATCTCCGCCTGTTCTTTGATTTGGCTGCTTAACTAGCGTTGTTCTCGCAGCCATAGCTGCGGTGTCAGTTGACTGCGGCTAGCTGCAAGCCTTCCTTGCGTTGTGCATATAAGTGACTTGTCAACGACGGACCGTAGATTGTGAGGCAGAGAGCAAAAGAGGAAAGGAAGGAAGTGGAAAGTAACCCCAATACGCGACATATGTAAGCAGTGCTTGCATACGAGGCCTCCCTTTGCAATTAATTGACGAGGTAATGCTCTATAGCCTATAAACTAACGGGTTGTTTGCGCAATCCAAGGTTTAGAGTGCAGCACCTGGCGCCACAGTATGCAGAACAGGGCCTCCGTTATAGGTACACACTGTAATTTTCATGAGATAAATTGCATCCACTTTCTGCACAACTAATAAATCGCCTAATCTTCTTACTTGACCTATGATGAGCACTCGGCATCAGAGAGTTCTTGTTGCCTTTCAGTTTGGTTATTGCACTTGAACACGATGTATTCTTGAACCGAGGTCGAGAATGCAATATTTTCAGACAAGTTGGCACCTAGACTAACAAAATCTACCATGTTACAACTGTAAAACAAAATCTTCCCTTTTGTCAAGGTATAGTGAGGACCAACCTAGCCTATAGCGCACAGTGCGTGCTGAGATGGTGTCGGCGTTGATGACTGGCTGCCAGGATGATGCTGGGAATACAGGCAGGAAATCAGATTTCTCGTTCAGCTAAAGCAGATGACATGATCCGATAACGCGGGATAGCGCGATCACAGTGTGGGGGCCGGGTATGACAAGATGATAATACCACGGGATTACGTACCTAAAAGTTACGTTGGTTAGTATGTATGTATGCATGTACGTAGGTTGATGAAGATCAACTCTATCACAGATTATCGAGTACATGGTCTATCAGACACAGAACCGAGATTGCCTTACAGTAGGATCCGCCAACCTTACCTTGCACTGGAGATTGGGCGCTGAATGATACCTGATCCAAATAGGTACCTACTGCCCTGTAGGTGCCCAATTGTGTATGTGTGTACGTACCTTCTTAGACTCTCACTACGACAATCTTGTAAAAGTGCGACTAATAACAACCCCTGCCTGAAGAAGTGTGATCTAATGTGAATCACCACTATCTCCATGCACACAATATGACAGAATAGGAAACTAATGTGCCTTAGCCGCTAGCCGCCCAGTGCCCCCAAAAAAATAAAAAGTCAAACTCTTTTTTTTACTCGTCACACCCCTGACCAAGAGCCGAGATTGGAGGATGTGACGACAACAGACCACACACACTGTAACACGACCAGAGGCAACAAAAACCAAGCACATGCAGATACTGGTATCTACTAAAGCTAACATGGATAACCCGTAAGCAAGCACACGCATGCTGTACCATATGTATATGCAGCTACACTACGTGCATATCCTGTCCTGTATGTATGTATGTACTGCAACACCCCTGCCCCTGGGAACATTCCCGTTGGCTTAACTGCCGCTAACTTCGGAGCATGCAACAACCGTCACAGACAGCACTAACGCCATATGTTTGCATGAGGTGGCTTTGACCGTTGTCCACTGCCCAAGGTAAGGCGAGTCAGAGAGGGAGAGGGGGGGAGAGAGGACAACAAAAGAGACCATCAAGTGTTTCGGACACGTCACTTATGTATCCCAGCAGAAGAAATCTCTTACAGCGTACGGGGTAATATCCGTACGTATGACAATATCACGGCCATTCTCACTCACATGCGTTGTTGTCTCTGTTCTCCATCTCGATATCTTGCTGCAACCTGGTTGTAACAGCCGTAGCACCTCGACTCATAGTAAAGTCATTGTCATGAACACTGAAGTACCAAATTATAATTAAGTGCAGGAAATACTTCCTCCACAAACGCTTGTTTCTAGTGCTTCTCACTCTATCCTATACTATACTAGACTATGTAACTCAAGAGCTTTTCGATCCATAGAAAGATCCGGGGTATCAGGTAACACTCACCAAAGCACTCTCCCACAACAAAGGAAAGCCAAAGAGCCGAGAGAACTCCTGCCTAATCCCAAGCCACTTCCCGCTAGATAAATATTGGATACAAAGATAAATTCACAATTCCAATCTGGTATCAAAATGACTTGCTAACAACAAAACAGCCAAAACAATAGCTATGAGCCATTCATAAAACACAAAGGAAACAACAAAATGAAAATGGGTCCTGGTCGATACCCGCACCTATGCCATCAGTGGAGACATTGGTTTTGAGCGGCAAGCCCCAAGTAACTGTAATTCAAAGTATTCTTCTGCCGCGTGCTTTTGCGAAGCGCAGCTGCCTGTACTTGTTGATTGAGTATACCATCGCCTTCGAGACGATGTACTGTTTGAGAAGCAAAGGCTCCAGGGATATCCGGTCGCAGAAGAGCTCTGCCTCATGACCCAGCTCAAGATAACTAGAGTCTGAAGCAACCAAGCAAATACAAAGGAGTAAAAAACAGACAGATACCTCAATATTCCAGTCCAGTCCGTCCCGTTTCCCAAGAGGAAGCACGGAATGACAAAGGCGAAAACATGTCCATAGTACAAAGATACATGCTTACACCAACACATCCGTCATGAGCACTCCGTGTATGCAAACAATGCTGAACTCGGACAACAGAAAACACGTAATCAGAACGGAGAACAAGGAAACAAGATAAGACAAGACAACATTACAAGTTGCGATAAATTCGTCGGTTGCCCAACAGATGCGTCTTCCAAAAGTCCCACCCGCGAGTTACCAAAATCATGCCAAAAACCTGAACCACTCCGATATTATATAATAGACGAGAACACTAGGTCTCCATAACTGTAATGCGTAGCCAAACGCTTGCAAGCCTCAAATCTCAAATCCCATCGCATTAAGGCCTGCGATGAGTGTCCCTTGTTGCCCAGCCAGTCTCTGTAACTCGAGGCTGAACGGGAACCCACTGACCAGTTCGCGGATCCTGCTCTTGAACCCCTGGCCCGGGGGGTGGGCCAGTAGGAGGTCGACCTTCCATCGCTCTCAGCGGCGGCAGCCTTTCACCACTCGCCGAGGATGCCGCAGATGATGGCCGTGATGGCCCGCCATAACCTGGCATGGGCATTGGAGGTAGTCCACTAGGAGATGCACTCGGGTGACCGCTCGCAGGGGACCCGTATGGTGGTAGCGAATATTCAGGATGGTCGTCGGTTCGACGGCGTTGGGCTGGTCTTTCGTTCGAAAGTACATCTCCGTAACTCATAGACCCAGATGGCCCCGATGCTAACGACCCAGTCTCTGCATAAGAATTGCTTGTCGAAATAGTAGGACTAGGAGGTCCAGCAGCAAGGCCACTTATTGATGGCGTTTGTGCGACAATGTCTCGTAAACGGTTACGGTCTTCACGGTAGAAGTCCCGCTGTTGAATCAACTCCTCGATCCGTATCTCCATGAGGCGCCTTTCATCCCGAAGCTCTTGTAGCTGTTTTGAGTTCTCCTCCTGCATGATCTTCTTCTTCCTCCTGTGCCTCGTCGAAGCCACTGCATTTCTCTGCCTCTTCTCGTCTGCTTTCTTGGACGCTTGCGAAAAGTCCATATGCACAGGGATAGGTGCCTCGCTTCCCGGAAGTGCTAACATGGCTTGCTGTCCCTCGACGCCAAAAAGCGACCCTCCCATCCCATGTCTCCGCAGTGTTTCCGACCATGGCGAGGCGGACTCGCTTGGGGGCCCCGGACTCGGGAAGGGCCGACCAGCCTGCATGTTAGGAGAATATGAAGTTTGAGAATGTACCAGAGGCGGTTGCGTGCGACCCGGCGCATGGCTGGAGGGGAAAGTAGAGAGAGGAGCTTGTGTCCCAGGAGAAGCGAGCGGCTGTGAATGCAACCTACCATGATCCGACATCGTTGAGGGAGGACCAGTGGGTGCTCCCGTCAGAGGATGTAGATGAGGATATTGAGTTCTGGTGTCTTCCGGCGTTATGTCTTCGAACGGTCGCTTAGCAGATGAAAAGCTATGTAAAGACTGTCGCCCATCAGATTCACGAGAGGGCACATGACTAACGCTTATGGCTCGGGGATGCTGTGTCGGGCTCGCTCTTGGTCTTGCACTATTCACGGCAGGAAATGGGAAAGCTGTTGGGGAATTGCGTCCAGATGAAGGCCCTCCAATAGGTGTCATCGGCCCTAAGGGCGTACCTGGAAGAGAAATTGATGCAGGCTGGGCTGGCGGGAAAGCTCGTGCGCCAGTAAAAGGCCCAGAGATTGAGCCAACTGCCTGGCCTGGTGTCACGGATTCAGATGGACGAGCTGTTGGAGGAAGATGACCATTACCCCCTGAAGCCAGTAGTCGTGGCTCCATAGGGTTGAGTATGTTATGGACACCAAGAGTCTTTTGGGGAACCTGCTGTAATCTTTCCTCGCCATTTGTATAAGGAACGTTGCTCACATCTTGGCGCAGATCGCGGTCACTGAGCTGTCTATGTCGAACTGAGGAAGGCGAGACTTGGTCATCTCCCAAGGGGGACCTCGAAGAACGACGTGACGCATGTTGAGATGCTGGTCCAGTATGCGACATTGAGACTAGACCGCCTGTGCACACCTGGCCACGAGGGCCGGCACATTGACCCTCCCCGAGCCTGTCTAAAGATGGTAGTTTATTGTCCTGGCTGGCAGCCTGTTTCGATAGAGTAAAGTCTCTGGAAGGCCAGTTTGGTGTCGATGGTGTCCGTGGAGAGTTAGGCGATGCGCCGGTCGAATCTGTTGCGGCAGATCCGGGTCTGCTCTGAGATGGTTGTGCCTGCGACCACAGGCTTGTCGATTGAATCGCCAGATTGGATGGTTTGTTGATGCGGACGGGATGGGAAGATAACCCAAACAGTCCTCTCTTGAAGCAATACTAAGGCAGAATCTTCAGAGCTCCAGAGGGGAAGCAAGAGAGTCGTAATGCTATAAGAGTTCTGAGAATCCTCTTATAATCAACACTCTTGCGCAAGCCGAGTTAAAACAGGGGGAATTGGTGTTGAAGAATAGAAAACCAATACGTCACCCGGGATGAAATCAGCAACAAGTCCTGACCATGAACCGCACAACGCGATGTCTGAACTTTGGCTTGATTCAAGGGAAGCCAACTTAGCACACTCGCAAATAGGTTGCAGGTGAAGATGAACCACGTAAGTATGCTTGCCGAAAGCCAGTACTGGGGGCAGGGATATATCTCAAATGTACAGGCCTGCCAGCAAATCATACACCTCAAAGACAATTTCCCGTTCTGAATGGCCGATGCTGTGTGGCTATGGATGGAGCCAAGGTCTCAAGCAATCCTCTCGCCTTGCAATTCCAGTTATTGGCTCTGCTGTACTGTACTTGGTCGCCCACGTCACCTCTTCTGGAGAGGATCTTACAGCCGCTTGAGATGAAATGCGAAGAACTTGAACAGATGCAGACGGTAGTTTCGTGGCTTAACAAGGAAGAACAAGTCTTGCCGGTTGATGGGAAGACTGTTAGTGAGCTGTATAGCCTGGTATCGTAAGGCTGTAAGAATAAGAAAAGGGAAAGAGTAATAAAGATGAAGGAAGAACAGAGTAGTCTCAAGCACAGGGAAGTTCTAGTGATGTAAGATGTCTGTTCGGCACCAGCAAGAGAAAACATCTAGTACGAGAAGCGAGTCTGTCCCAGGATGGGGCTATTGTAATCCAGGGCCACACTGTGTGGTATTCTTTATTTGCTCTGGTACGAACCATGTAAGCCTTGAGCTGGTCCTGGTACGGCGACAAGCCCTTATCAAGCCCCAGAACTGGCCCTGGCATCCAAAGTAGAAGTCCCGCAATGACCACGGTCAACACTTAACGAAAGAAGCCGTGCTTAGCTTTTGAGACTAGGCTGGGGTTCAGAGCTAGGGCCCAACTGTGACCAAGCTAGCCAAGCTCTCATGAGATGAAATGGTGCTAATGCCGGGGAGCGTTTTGACCAGGGGAGGGTCATGAAGACTAAGAGTAGTGTGTACGTACCAAGACTCCGCGACATCAGGTCCTCAGCAAGGCTTAGGAGACTGGGGGGGTCCCTAAAGACGGGGAGCTGCCGGTAGCTTTGCCGTCATGTCAAGTTTTTTTTTTCCAATCCTTCGTTCTTCTGTCAGGGTAGTCGGTGTGGTCTGCAAGCGAATTGAGCTCAATTCAAGCTTTCTCGGACCTTAATATCTGCGACTGACGATATATGGAAGATTGCGGATGTATCAATAAATGTTAAAATGTCTACTGCAGGGTTCAATGGTCACAGAACCATACGAGGCCCCCAAGGCTGGGAAAACAGGCAGGCCTCAGTCGAAAAATTCTGGATGCTTCGCATCATCCCAATGCAAAGGCAGCTAACTGAACTGAACACGCTGGACACCGCCATCAGTCTACGGATAGTTAGCTTAGAAACCGGCTGGCGGGCTAGCAACCCAAGCATCCGGAGACCAAGGGAAGCTAGAGCGGTCAACGGGAATGCCATGTGTACGTATCCGCAGTATGTGCGGTAGCCGTGGGCACGGTTGTGGTTGTGATATTCCGATCAGAGCACTGCATCGACCCCGTGCAAGATCAACTGCGGCCCGTCTATATCCAAGCCCAAGCGCCATCAGCATCTTCTATAGGTATCTTGCTTCTGAGATGCTGATGAAGATAGATGTATATTTATGCAACGAGACATAGTAGACATGAAGTGAATGACAGGATGGCCAGGTCCCATTGTCAGTGGGCGACTAGCCAATGCACGAAGTGGACCGTGGATCTGCTGTAAGTCAGTCTGAAGACGAGATTCTTGACCAAAATAAAGTCGTAGTACATAAACGCGGTAGCAATAACGCGTCTTGTGTAAATCTAAAAAGCAACGCTGGGCATGAGGTTGCAAAGCAGGCGAGAAAAGAGACGACAAAGACGAGCCCACTTGTACGGATACAGATACCGCTATGTTAGCCAAGATACAGTGCACATACTTGCAGGACAGTACGGGAATACCCAGGTCCGCATTTTTGGGGGGGAGAGCTGAGAATCAGATGGGACAAAGAAACAAAAGATCGTCGTTACGCCCCGTGTCCGTGGTTTTGGGTGGTGCGGACCTTAGTCTAACTGACCCTGGCTAGTCGTTGCAAGGTCTTGGTTCCTTGAGCGGTGATTGCGTTCTAATTAACTGGTATTACATTAGTTGATATGTTTTCCTTTTTTTTCTTTCTTGCTCATGACCCAAAGCCAAAGTGCGCCAAAGTGCAAACTGTATATTATCCACGGAGTTCGAACTGATGTGGGCACGCTTTGCAGGCCTCGAATGAGATGCGGATGTTGCAAGCTCGCATATAGAGTAGATCATTATCGTTCATGATGACATGGCATTACATATAGGGTCGCCCACCAAAACCCAAACCGGAATAACAGAGAGCCATGAATCCGCACAAGACAGCGTCACTTACATTGTCTTGCTTGCCCTGAGATGTGTGACTGAGACATAAAAGAGACGTTGGAAGCCAAGGTAGGGCAGGGCTGCAGATGGAGGCAAGGCCATACTGTATGTATGTACTCTTAGAGACACCCCTTGAGGTGAAAGAAGAGAAGTCGACTCAGTTGAAGAATTTGCTGGTCCATGTTGATGATGACGATGGTATCAAAAGCGAAAATGCCTACGAAGGTATTCATCTGCCGAAGAATCAATCAGCGACAACTGATGTGAGATAGAGATTCCATTGGCAGGAAAAGCAAATCGTCAATCCCTTGAGCTTGGTTGAGGGAAGGAAGGAACCCTTTATGGTAGGCAGCTCGTCTATAGCCGCTGTCTACTAAATTGGCAGTCACGCAAGAGCTATCGTTACCTTGGGTAGTACAGGCATCAATGAAATGAGAAGAGCAGGTACATTCGTGCCGTAATTAGCAATTCCCCTCAACGTCACCCACTTCAATATCTACTTGCCTACCCTCAGGGGGCAAGAAAACACCGTACCTTTGATATGAGGTGTCAAAATAAATTCAGTAAAGGATAGCCTAAATTTATGTAAAGTTACCTAAGTCTTTTTGTCATCTATGATTCAGATCCTGAGTTTTCTTTCCTCCCCTAGCCTACGTACTCTGCATTCACTCATGGAAAACCCATTCCGAGTATCTCAATCACTATCCCTAGCAAACGTCGATTTCAACTTCAACTCTTCTAACTAAAACTTGCACGCGTCTCACGCCACGACATGCCAGGTCATGCACCAATTCTTGCGCGGAAAGACGGAAAGCCCCTGGGCTCTTGCGACTGTCTATTTCTACGATAAACACTCCGACACGGTGTTGTTCGCATCGCCAAGACTGATTCAATACGCATTTCGTGTCTCGACAGACAAAAAGTCGTCTACGGCCCTTTCCCTATCCTGGACTTCATTTATAAGATGTCTCGAAAACTGCGCTCATAATGCCGTGAGGGCTTTCACTCTCTTCCTCCCATCATGGTAGAAGCCATGCGAAGTTCTTGGTATTTGTTGACCGTTCCGTGCTCACGATGTTCGTCCCCCAAAACCCCTGGAGCGTTGACATACGGTACATTGGCCGAGGGGTGGGTGTGGGTGCAATGAAGGGCCGTCGGCGCACTGGCATTGCGCACGACGACAGCATTCTTAACGGGTCGCGGTGAATTGCATAGCCAGGGGGCTCTACCGGGGAAGGGGTCCTGGTCCAGAGCTGCAAGGCCCGCCAGCGTGCAGATGCAACCATCCATGACAGTTGTCTCTAATGGGATGGACCAATCTGCGTTGAGTGGATGCCGGAGCTCTTACTGGCACAGGCGCGCGTACCGGGGCAATGGTTGGAGTCTAGCAAGCTTCCACGATCAGACGCGATATTACGTACCTATCGATAATGTCACGCGCAGGACGGGCGGATTAGATCGTGCCCCAGTAAAGAATGGTAGGTCATCACTACAAGTCACCACAGGCTTAAGCCAGACTCTTTCAGCGCTGCCGCGGCAAAAACAGACTTGTAGCCCATCAGACATTTCAGAATGCCCAGTTATCCCCTCGCCTCCAATTACAAGACCACCAAATGAAGCACTAGCATGCACAACTCACTCCATTGACCAGTAATGAGAATGGACAAAAAGCAAACAATCAGAGATATTGACATGGCTGCCTTTACCTAGCTGATCTTAGATTGGCATGCCTCGCACAGGTGTGTGCGGCCCAGGGGTGGTGTGACGTCGATGTGATTGTGCCCATAGTGATTTATTTCAGACTCCCCCAGGAAATGAATCCGCCTCGAAAGCGAAATGAGGTGGACTAGACGTCAATAATGTTGGACGAAGGTTGACTTGAAACGCTATCACACCAAGCAGCAAAGTTCTATTCAGCGGCACGTTGCGGCGTTGGAGGCACGGGACGGGGCGTGTTTAGTCGTTTGGCATCGTGTGAATGTTGTCGGCCCAAGGCGCCCTGGTCAAACCCGAAGTCCTCTGGTTCGAGTCTTGCCACATCAGCTTGATCCTTCAGCCTGGCTATTGAAAGGTGCTTATGCTAACCGTTCCGGCATGATTCCTTCTTTCCTTCATTTCCGTGGCCATAGCTACGTACGA